GTATGTGTATAAAATTATCAAAATGTTGTTAGGACTGAGGCATATTTTTTTTCACATGTAGGATATCAGTACTTAGAAGTCAGTACTTCAAGTGCTTCGAATAACACGCCCACTACTCCACATGCAGATATGGGACTTTAGGTTGCTTCAACATCCACCAGTGCAATCTCATTGGAGACTTCAGGTAAGAAATTATGTGTTTTATAAATCGTTTATTTTGAAAAGCTCTGGTTAAATTACCTATAATGGCATATAACTCTTAATAAGAGTTATTTATTAATAAACGAAACATCATTCAAAAAACGTTTAATTTCCCTTTTATTACAAAAGAATGTAGTATAATTTTTTTAAAGTTTGATTTCATATTACAGGGTAACCCCGCTTAATGGGGAAACAGCGTTAATCGGGATCATTATTGGATATTTTTTGACAGCTAAACAAAGGGAGAGTTTATTGGAGGAAGTTGGTGTCCACAAACAAGACGACTTATCACCAAAAGCCCAACATTTATACAGGAAAGCAGTGATGTATAAGAGGAAATTCCAGCGCCAGAGTATAACATCCTAAAGAAATAAAAGAAAATTATTACCAAAGAGACAACTTTTTAAGCAGTCAATTTCAAGTTTAGACACAATATTGGCATTACATTTAATGCTACAAAATGGAAAGGGGTATAAGGTATTATAAAGTGTAAAGTTACACTGTGAGGAATAAACAGATTAACACCGTATTTTTAACATCTTTTAACAAAGTTATTTTGACTCTCAAACGTGTTGCAACCTATTAGAATTTAGGTGAATTTATCACTTTTTCGCAGTAATATTTCACCTTATACCGAAGAGTTAAATTACATCGTAAAATTTTTAATAGTGTATCATTAATCATTACACATTGTTAATAGTTATTGTTCTTTTATATTAAAATAAGACTTTATGTTTATGATAATAATTTTAATAAAAAGATTATTAAAATCCACAAATGATTTTATTTTTTTATTTAATTCCACACAAAAAAATTAGAAAATATTAAATTTTAGATTTATCACGTTAGCCGCTATTTAATATTAGTACTGGGCCGAGCCGTTCGCAGCGCTGGTGCCGTGTACAAAAATTTTACGTAAATGTCACATCTATATAAGTTATCTATGCGTGCCCTACTAATAAAATGAATTAAATAAAAAAACGATAAACGTCAAAAATGATGTTTAAACATTAAACTGACGTTTAAACGTCAAATTGATATTTAAGCGTTGAAAATTTTAAATTTAAAATATTTAAAAACTGATTGTTTTATGTAAAGTGGAGCGGAATTGATTTGTACCTTCCGATATTTTTTTGCTTTGATGTTAAAATTATAGAGTATTACGGGAAATAACAAGATATCGCGGCAATAATGGTATAAAATCGTACTCGTAAATCACGTGATAATCACACTTTTTGTGCTACATATTTATGTATAACAAGCTTTCAAAGTTTTTAATTAAAAAAAAACTGAGTACGCAACAACGAATTAAGAATGAAAAGAGAGAATTAAATGATCTGTGGAGATGGAACATGAAATAAATTAATGTGGCGAAGACAAGAAGAACATCTTAGAGATGAAACAGAAAATAAGAGACATAATCAAAACGAAACAAACAGGAAACCAAAAGATTATTCAAAACAGGTGATAGACCATAGAACGACGAACAAATTGAAGGGTAGAATACTGTAAAAGGATAAATATTGCTTGCAAAAGAGTAGATGCTCCTTGCAAAGAATAGATATTGTTTGCAGATTGCTAAATGCTGCTTGTAGAAGTCTAGATACTACTTGCAGAAATCTAAATACTGCTTGCAGAGACTAAATTCTGCTTGTATAAGACGAAATACTGAATTCCAGACGATACTGTTTAAAGAAAACTACACAAAAAACCATGAATTACTTGAAGATCGCCTGATAGTTTACACCAGGTTCTCATTGTAAAGGATTAGATACTGCTTTAGAAAGACTAGATAGAAGACTAAACACGAGATTGCATTGCAGAAGATACTGTATACCCTAAATACTGTATGCAGAAGACTAGATATTGCTCGCAGAAAACTGAACACGGTGACCAGAAGACTAGATCCTGTTTGGGACATGACCAGAACCACACATTGCTTGAAAGTTCCAAACTACCAGTTTTGCATGAATAAGTGATTTCATTTAATTTCAATTTGATCAAAAAAAAAATAGATTGTTTTGATCAATAAAATGTTATAAAACAAAATAAAACTTCAAAATAAAGTTATTTTTACCTTGTTATGTAAAGCGTACAAACACCGAACAGCTTCATCTTGTTTTAACGGCCTAATCCTAACAGCTACCATGAGCTTATCTTGCGAACTTTTCGGCGTTTTCCTCGATTGGTCACTATCAGAGCTAGATGGCACGTTTTCCGAGGCCATTTTTTTTGAATTAACAAAAAATTAATCCGAAACAAAATTTATTTACAATTAATTTCAATTTTCTGATAATAATAAAAGCTTTGCGTTCAAACCTCCGGTCGCTTCCAAAGACTATTCGTTACTGACCAAACCCTAAAGCTACGTCGAGAAAGAGCTTTTATGATGTTTACTACGTTAATACCATGGTAACCGTTTAGCTTTCGTTTTTCGTTAAAGCTATTTTTGTGCTTTTGTTAAACGTTTATTAAAAACGATAAGAATTATCTGTGGTTATCTTTTAAAACTAATTTAATTTAAAACTTATCATTAATCATTCGTAGCTAAATTGCTCAATTTATGCTGTATAAACATCAATTCTATCTTTATAAAAGAAATTTCTGGTACAATTTCTTTAAATAAAAGCGGTGTTAAGGTCAAAATGATAAATAATTTAACCGTAAGCACTCATTGACATATAAGTTAACCTGAAATGTCAATCAACTTGACAGTTTAAGAGGTTTCCGCGTTGACGCTTAAAGGTTAATCTTCGATTTTGGTAACCTTGGTTAAATTTACCCCCGATAAATCGAAATTCACCGTTTATTATGGTTTTCTATAGCTAAAATGAAAATTGAGCGCATTTTAAATGTTAATTAACGTTTTGAATGGGGGAAAGGAGCGAAAAGAGGGTCTTGTTAATAGATTATCGATTTAATAGAAGATGATTAATGATTTTAAGCTCTACTTGGAAAAGTATAATTTAAATTTGTTTAATTCTAATAATTAAATTATTTTAAAGATAGGCAACCAATATTACGCCGTTATGACATGTTTAAATCGTTGCGCAAGAGATGGCGCAATTGAATTTGAATTTTAAATAAGATTAAATAAAATTAATTGCTAAGTTATTACTAAAATTTAACAATTCGAAAAGCATTTAATCAAATTAATTAATCAAAAAAACAATGATTAATGCCTTAAACGATTTGTGATGATTTCAAATTAGTAAGTATGGAATGTATGACATAGGCAATGGAAATGTACGCCTTTTTGCACGGCAATAACAATTTAATCAGCAGCAAATAGCAAGCTGTTAGTAAGCATTCCAAAGGAAATAAATGAAGAATCTAGAAACCAGATAAACAGTAAAAGAACGCAGTTGCAATTTAATCCCTCCAGACTTTTATGTATCACGTTGAAATTAAATATATTTTCGTGTTATTATGTCACGCATTTTTTATTTTCTTCTATTCCAACCTAAAAAAGAATGTGTAAATAATTTTATTATTTAACAATAAAATCTTTGATAACGTCTAAAAATATTAATTAATTTTTTATCTTAATAACTAAAAGTTATCCTTTATTTCTGAAAGGATTAGAGTAGACACACATTATAGATAAATTTGTTAAAATCACTCAAAACGAAATTTTAACCAATGACTCTACAAAAAAAAATTATTAAATTAAAATTTAAAGGGAAAAAATCATTCGACCGACAAAAACGAACAAAACCGAAACGAACCGATCGGAATCCTATAAAAGAGCTCAACACGAGTCCAACCTGCCACATTGAAAATTATACAGTGACTCGACTGTATTGCGTGTTTCAAAGCGGAAGAAGCGACCGGCGTGTTAAATTTTACCCAATATTAATTCCTCTTATAATCGTCGATTAATCAAGAAAGATGGAAATCATTACCAATAGCCCAAAAGTGAAGTATTCCGAAAATTATATCGAAACCGATTACGAATACTTCACTAACATCATAGAGAAACAAGGAAATCAAATTTTGGTAAGTTTAAACAAAAATCAACGTAGGTTGATCAACGCCTACTTTTTTATTATCAATTATTTATTATCTAATCAAATCGAGAGAGGCCTTGAAAAAAGCTCGATATAAAGACTCGATATAAAAGCTTTTTTTAAAGAAAACGGTTATTTTTGATTTATTTTAAGTCTAAAATCGTGTGGAATGTATTGAGCTTTAGCAGAACGTTCTAGAAGCTTTCATCAATAAACTACACCCTGTTTACGCGCATATCTCTATGGAATTTTCCGTTTAACCCCTTTACTATCACATATCAGCATCAAATTTTCAAAATAATCGAATCTATTATCAAAATGATTCTAATTTTTTTTGAGAATATCGTTAATTTTTTAAATTGTCCTTGACCCTTCCACGATCGAACATCTACACGTGCAAGTTTTTTTTTAACTAAAATTTTTTTTTGTTATTGTTTAAATAGGTCACCCCACATGCTGAGCAAATAACTATTAGAACTGAGAGGAAAGTTCCTAAATTGGGGGTGATGTTGGTCGGTTGGGGCGGAAATAATGGATCTACGTTTACCGCGGGGATTATTGCGAATAAATTGGGGTTGAGTTGGCCCACAAAACGTGGAATGCAACTTGCTAATTGGTAAGTTAAAAACATTTACAAAAAAACCACCCCATTATTGACGTGTAATAATTAGCGCCATCTCTCCGTCATATCTCAAACTATAAACTTAACCTAATTTTTCTTTTAAAAATAATTTTTATAAATTAATACAATTCTATGTTAATTTTTTATAACTCACCTAATACTAATCGAATTAGGATCCAATTTTGTTTCCAAAAAAAATAACAACATAACCTCACTATTAACGGATTATATTTCTCTCCTACATCGCTTCTAAAACTGAATATGCACCAAAATCCACCTTTAACACAATAAACACAGGTAATAACACATTTCAATTAATACAAAAAGAATTTTTTCTTCGACTTTTAAGGGAAAGCACTTTTAAAGTTTGTATTTACGAATCATATGGTAACGACAACGAGCTAAATCATGACGTTTAGTGCCATCTATAAACGATATCTCAAACTATATACAATTCTAATTTTTTTATAAAGATATTTTAATTAATACAACTTGTTACTAAAATCAAGTGCGAACACAAATTCTTGTAAAACTAGTCAATTGTGAATCAAATTAGAACCCAATTCTTATTAAAAAAGAATATAATCTTGGCGTAATTAACGCCATCTCTCTATCATATTTCAAGATATAAAATTACCTAATTTTTCTTTTATAAACAATTTTTATAAATTAATACGTTTTTTGTTGTTAAAGTTAAGTGTAAACATAAATCTTTTATGTTATTACTCGATTTAAAATAAAATTTTATCTACAAAAAAAAAACAACATAACCTTACTTCTGACGAGTATAAAAATCATAATTTTTCTTACCACATTCTTAAAACTGTTTGATAACGTAAAAAGTATGCACAATAAACCACGTATACCACAACAAAACACTCAATTTTAATGTTTAATCAATGTTTTAATCAAACAAATTTTGGCACAGAATCTTGCCGTGATTAGCACCATCTATCCACAATATGACAAACTATACCTTAATAAAATTTTTTTTAAACACTTCTTTAAATTAATATAATTACACAAATATGCACTAAAACCCAAGCTTAACGCAACAAACGCAATTAATTAGATATTTTAATTAATAAAATTAATTAGAAGTGATTTTTTGACACTAAAAGTAACTATGATACGCGCCATCTCTCCGTAATATTTTAAACTACATATATAATTTAAAATTTATTTAAAATAATATTATTTGTTATTAAAATGTATTACGATACAAATTCATCTAAATTCACCTATAATAACTTACCTACATATTGCGATTAAATCCAATTTTACCCACAAACAAAAATTTGTACATAACCTCATTTAAAGTTTATTTTGATTAAATTAATATAAATATTAATTTATTTATTTAAGGTTTGGTTCAGTAACACAAGCATCAACGATTCGTTTAGGTCAAGATGAAAATGATCAAGATTACCACATTCCCTTAAAAAATCTTGTTCCAATGGTAAATCCTGATGATATAATAATCGATGGTTGGGATATTTCTGCGTTAAATATAGCGGATGCGATGGAAAGGGCGATGGTTTTGGAACCAATTCTTCAACAACAATTAAGAGAACATCTTGTTGATTTAAAACCACGTCCATCAATTTTTGATGCAAATTACATAGCAGCTAATCAAGCTGATAGAGCTAACAATGTTATTAAGGGTTCGAAAAGAGAACAGGTTGAGAGGGTTGTTCATGATATTGAAGATTTTAAGCAGAAAAATAAGCTGGATAAGGTGATTGTTTTATGGACGGCGAATACGGAGAGGTTCAGCGAGGTTATCGAGGGGGTTCACGATACTGCTGAGAATTTAAAAGCGGCTATTGATGAGGATCATTCAGAGATTTCTCCTTCGACTCTGTTTGCTTATGCATCGATTTTAACTAAAGTAGGTGTTTTAAAAATTTTGTTTTGATAATAAGCAAATTTTTTAGGTTATAATGGGGGACAAAGAAGATTTAAATTAAGGTTGGACTATAAAACATAAATCTAACTTAAAGAAAAAAATTAATAAAAACGTTGAATTTATTATTTTATCACTCTAAGATAAAGGTGATTTAAAAGTTTGATATTAAATTTATGACTAGGGCACGGAACTTTTGTAACAAAACGATACGATTTCCCCCCTCCACTCGTTCTGATTAAAAGAACAGCATACTATTCAGAGGGAAATTAAAATTTCAAGTTAGAAAAAAATTGTGTTAACAAACACTGTTCCTGAAGCAATTCTTAACAAACATTGTTAACAAAACTTTTTGATTTAATCAATAATTAAGGAGATAACCTAAAAATAATAATTTTTCCGTTTTTATACATAATTACACTTGGCTGCTTAATTAATAGAAATGTAAAATTTTTTTATTGAGATAATTGATTCAAAATCGAAATTGAAACAAATTTTATTTAAAACATTTTTTGATAAAAACAATAATTATTGAGATAATTAATTTTGATAGCATACTATTCAGAGGGAAATTAAAATTTCAAGTTAGCAAAAAATTGTATTAACAAACACTGTTCCTGAAGTAATTCTAAACAAATTTTGTTAACAACATTTTTTGATTAAATCAACAATAAGGATATAACCTCAAAAATATTAATTTTTGTAGCATACTGTTCAGTGGGAAATTAAAATTTCAAGTTAGAAAAAAATTGTGTTAACAAAAATTGTTCCTGAAACAATTCTAAACAAACTTTGTCAACAATTTTTTTTGATTTAATCAATAATTAAGGAGATAACCTCAAAATAATAATTTTTCCGTTTTTATACATAATTATACTTAGATGCTTAATTAATAGAGATGTAAAATTTTTTTATTAAGATAATTGATTCAAAATCGAAATTGAAACAAATTTTATTTAAAACATTTTTTGATAAAAACAATAATTATTGAGATAATTAATTTTGATAGCATACTATTCAGAGGGAAATTAAAATTTCAAGTTAGCAAAAAATTGTATTAACAAACACTGTTCCTGAAGTAATTCTAAACAAATTTTGTTAACAACATTTTTTGATTAAATCAACAATAAGGATATAACCTCAAAAATATTAATTTTTGTAGCATACTGTTCAGTGGGAAATTAAAATTTCAAGTTAGAAAAAAATTGTGTTAACAAAAATTGTTCCTGAAACAATTCTAAACAAACTTTGTCAACAATTTTTTTTGATTTAATCAATAATTAAGGAGATAACCTCAAAATAATAATTTTTCCGTTTTTATACATAATTATACTTAGATGCTTAATTAATAGAGATGTAAAATTTTTTTATTAAGATAATTGATTCAAAATCGAAATTGAAACAAATTTTATTTAAAACATTTTTTGATAAAAACAATAATTATTGAGATAATTAATTTTGATAGCATACTATTCAGAGGGAAATTAAAATTTCAAGTTAGCAAAAAATTGTATTAACAAACACTGTTCCTGAAGTAATTCTAAACAAATTTTGTTAACAACATTTTTTGATTAAATCAACAATAAGGATATAACCTCAAAAATATTAATTTTTGTAGCATACTGTTCAGTGGGAAATTAAAATTTCAAGTTAGAAAAAAATTGTGTTAACAAAAATTGTTCCTGAAACAATTCTAAACAAACTTTGTCAACAATTTTTTTTGATTTAATCAATAATTAAGGAGATAACCTCAAAATAATAATTTTTCCGTTTTTATACATAATTATACTTAGATGCTTAATTAATAGAGATGTAAAATTTTTTTATTAAGATAATTGATTCAAAATCGAAATTGAAACAAATTTTATTTAAAACATTTTTTGATAAAAACAATAATTATTGAGATAATTAATTTTGATAGCATACTATTCAGAGGGAAATTAAAATTTCAAGTTAGCAAAAAATTGTATTAACAAATACTGTTCCTGAAGTAATTCTAAACAAATTTTGTTAATATAATTTTTTATTGAGAAAACCGTTTTAGAATTTAATTTAGAACAACTTTTGTATGAAATTTTTTGCTGAGAACGAGTGGAGGGGGGAAATCGTATTGTTTTGTTACAAAAGTTCCGTGCCCTATTTATGACATAAAAAGTGAGGTTAGATTTTTAATTTAATAATTTTTTTTTAATTCAAACTTTTAAAACGACCTCTTTTGTTCCGTAGATCTTCAGTTTTTCACTAAGCTTTTATTAGTTTTTTTATCTTCCACCAAATTTACTTCTAAAAGTAGTGTTAAGAAAAAAACGTAACCTAAAAATAATTTTTCTAATATATTTCTTTTAAATATTCTTTTTCAGTCGAGTTATATTAATGGATCCCCACAGAATACTTTCGTACCGGGAATCATTGAAATGGCTGAAAAAGCTGGAACTTTTATCGCCGGAGATGATTTCAAATCAGGACAAACCAAGCTAAAAAGTGTTTTGGTTGATTTCTTGATTAGCGCTGGAATAAAACCTGTTAGCATCGTCAGTTACAATCATTTGGGGAATAATGATGGCAAAAATTTATCAGCCCCTTTACAATTCCGTTCTAAGGAAGTCTCTAAAAGCAATGTTGTCGACGATATGGTCGACTCAAATAATATTTTATATAAAAAAGGAGAAAAACCCGACCATTGCGTTGTTATTAAATATGTTCCCTATGTTGGTAAGTTTTAATTATTCAAATCGATTTATGTAGTTAATAATAAAACATTATTTTAGGCGATTCTAAACGCGCTATGGATGAATACACCTCAGAAATTATGTGTGGGGGCACCAACACGATTGTGGTTCATAACACATGCGAAGATTCGCTTTTAGCAACTCCTATAATACTCGATTTGGTGATTCTTGGCGAATTATGCAATCGAATTCAATTTAAAAACAAGGAAACATCATTTTGCTCTTTTCATCCGGTTTTATCGATTTTAAGCTATTTGTGTAAAGCACCATTGGTTCCACATGGTACCCCGGTGGTAAACGCTCTCTTTAAGCAACGGGCTTGCATAGAGAACGTCTTAAAAGCGTGCATTGGGTTACCTCCAGATTCTCATATGATGCTCGAACATAAAGTTCCGTTTTTAATGAAGGAACATGGGGTAATCAAGAAGGTAAATGGACGTAATCCATTAATCCTTAATGGGGACTATTAAGGGTTGAGTTTTAGATTGTTTTTTTAAGTATTGACCAGTATTAATAAGAACGTTTTTTCTATTCCTAGTTAGTGGCCATTTTTGTTATATTTTATTATTTTTTTAATTATTTTTGGAATCTCTGTAGTTGTGAAATCACGATTTTATTATTACAATTCCTTAAATAAAGTTGAAATGGTATTTAAATAATTTCGTTTTAATGACCGTCATTGACGTTTAAATACGTCACTTCAAAAACATAACCTCATTTTTAACGGATATAAAAATCATAATTTTTACCTGCTTTTTTCTATATCACCCCAAAACTGCTTGGTAACGCAAAAATATCCACTAAAAACCACGTTTAACACAACAAAACACTCAATTACACATTTTATTTAATCAAAATGAATTCGAATGAATCAATTTGACACAAAATTTTGACGTTAGCTTAGCGCCATCTATCCCTAATATCTCACACTATATTCCTATGTCTTTTTTTATAAATAATTCGTTAAATTAATACAATTTGTTACTAAAATCAAGTACAAACACAAATTTTTATAAAACTAGTCTATTATGAATCGAATTTGAACCAAATTTTTACTTAAAAAAAATATAATCTTGACGAGATTAACGCCATCTCTTTGTGACATCTCAAGCTATAAAATTACCTAATTTTTCTTTTATAAACTTTTGTTATAAATTAAAATGATTTTTGTTGTTAAAGTTAAGTGCAAATGTAATTTTTTTATGACACACTCACCTATTAATCGAATTAAAATCTAATTTTATCTACAAAAAAAAAAATCAACATAACCTCATTGTTGAGGGATGTAAAATGTAATTTTTACCTTTTTTTTTTCCTACATCACTCTAAAACTGTTTGGTAACGCAAATATATGCACTAAGAGCACGTTTAACACAACAAAACACTCAATTACACATTTTATTTAATCAAAATGAATTCGAATGAATCATTTTGACACAAAATTTTAACGTTGTTAGCTTAGCGCCATCTATCCCTAATATCTCACACTATATTCCTATGTAGTTTTTTATAAACAATTCGTTAAATTAATACAATTTGTTACTAAAATCAAGTACAAACACAAATTCTTATAAAACTAGCCCGTTGTGAATCGAATTTGAACCAAATTTTTACTTAAAAAAATATAATCTTGACGAGATTAACGCCATCTCTTTGTGACATCTCAAGCTATAAAATTACCTAATTTTTCTTTTATAAACTTTTGTTATAAATTAAAATGATTTTTGTTGTTAAAGTTAAGTGCAAATATAATTTTTTTATGACACACTGACTTATTAATCGAATTAAAAATTATGCACTAAGAGCACGTTTTTTAATCACAAGATCTTACGTGGTTAGCGCCATCTATCCCTAATATCTCAAACTATTTTGTGATGTAGTTTTTTATAAACAATTCTTTAAATAAACATAATTTGTTGCTAAAACTTAGTACGAGCACAAACTAGTCAATAGTTAATCAAAGTCAAAAATGTTTTATCTTCTATATGCATTATAGGGTTGATAAAAACCAATTTTATAAATTTTCTTTTTATTTTTATAAGTTTAAGGCACGTTTTTTTTTTCAAACACGTTTTATAAATAATATTATCTGAAAAAAATGACACGTATAAAATAATATTAATTAATTAATGGCACCTATCGCTAAAATGATAGCTCAGTACAATAAACCCTTCTTTTAGAACGATTTTTTTCGCTTTTAAAACGACTATCCACAAAGAAAAAGCCTAATTTTTAAGTTAACTAAATAAAAAGTCGTTGTGTAAGTACGAACAATACTAAATAAGTCCAACATTCTTATATCTTTCTGATAGCTTAAAAAGTTAGACAATAAAGTTAATAATTAATAACAGTCGATTTGCACGAAAGGCACTGTCTCTGTGATGTATAGTGTAAGAATCACATGATTAAATTAAGTAGTGTAAAATATTTAATAATTAACATACTTTGATTGTTTCTAATTTTTGAATTGACTGTTGCCATTCTCCATAACGGCGTAACTTGATGGCAGTAAATATGCTATATCAGAACCGCTTTTCCTGAACGTAGCTTTTTCCACGTCGGATTGAACCTGAATTGCGATTTGTCGTCGTTTATTCCCCAAAGTACAGCTTAAAACTTTATTAACTGTCACCGGTAAATCAGTTTTTTTCAATCTAAAAATTAATTAAATAATTAATCTTAATAATTCTTAACAAATTTTACTTACTCAAAATAACGATTGCATAAAACACCGACTAATTCCCCTATTCTATCCTCATTAGTAACCGTATGCAACGAAATCACCAAATCATTACTTCCAGAATGGATTATGATTAACTGATCTTGTCCTGGTGAAACACTTAATCCAGTAATCGCCGTTACATCAATCCCCTCTTTCATATTCTTGTATTTCATGGTATCCAATTTAAAAATTGCGTTCTCAGTCACCAAAAGCACTCGCTCCGCCACTTTATTAAATCGATTAAATTTGGTGATAAAAGAAGAGAATAACACCGATTTAAAATGTTGGGTGTTCTTTAAATTATTAACGCTTTCGTTAAAAAGTGTGTAAGCGACGTTTTCGCTGTGAATACTCAAATAATTTCCCTCCCACTTCCGGGATAACCCGAAATGGGGTCGTTTATTTCTAAAAACGGAAGCGGCCGCGATTTTTAATTTTAACTGGGGCCATTCCGATTTGGGGATTTTACTCAAAATCATGTAAGCTCTCCATCGCCTGTACGCGCCTCGGAGAATTCCAACAGTGTTTTTCAACGGTAAAGGCGGAGCGGGCCATTTAATACTTTTTCCGTAATCTCTCATATTTTTGGCGTTCTTAAATTTCGATTGTAAGGCGTCCAAATAATTTCTCAATTTGTAGAATCGATAAATCGTTATTATTTTGTAAGCGGCTTTTAATCGTTTGTATTGTTCGCGGGCAACGTAACCTCTCCACGTTTTTTGAATTAACGTCACAATCGACGGGATTAAGTCGTTCCGGCGTTGTTCTAAGGCAAATAAAGTTTTCGGTGAGCGAATAAATACTTTTGTATGACCGTATTTAACGTCGTCGCTAAATTTTAATTCGTCCATAATCACTCGGGTTCCATCTCGATCTGAGCCATTGCGGAAGTTAGGCCAAGTGTATTGCGAAATCATTTTGTAACGTTTTATGAAGCGATCGTAACGTTGTCTATAAGCAAATCCGGCTCTTCTAACTCTAACGTTTTCAACTAACCCCAAATAACTTACTTGGTGGCGAACTCGTTGTTCGTCGAAAGTAATGGGGGATTTAATTTCGTTGGGTTTGATGCAACGGATATAATGGGGCTCTTTACTTTGTAGGTTTAGTACTAAAGCAGCCATTGAGTTTTTAAATGATGTCCCAGCGGTTACGGGGCGTTTCGTTGTTTGAGAGATGTGTTGCGCGCCTTCTGGCCACATTTCCGATATGTTTTTATCGCTAGAATGAAACAATAATCGCTTAAAATCTTGGAATAAACTATCTTTATTTTTATCTAAAAATCCGTGAATGCAATAAGCCACATCTCCAGCGTAGTGGGTGATTCGGAAATCGATTTTGTGGCGCAACTCTTTATCGGAGGGTTTTATTTGGCGGGAAGTGTAATGATGGTGATTTTTTAACTTATTATCCATCGCCTCTAACAACATTTCGTCGGTTATTTTCCCGACGTTTAAACAAGCCTCGTCTAAAATCGCAATGACCCCTTTATGAGGGGCTTCAACTAAATCGCAAATAATTTGGTTGTTGAAGTATTCGATGTTTTGCCAAGCGATTCCCTCTCGGTTATATTCTTCTTGTTCTTGCTTAAGAACTAACTCGATAAATAATTGTTGGAGCTTTTCGTTGCAATAATTAATACAAAATTGCTCAAAACTGTTATTATCAAAAATTTCAAACCCGTAAATATCTAAAACTCCAATTAAACTACTCCGATAGTGTTTACTTATATTATTATCATCAACGGAAATCGCCGAATTAATCTTCCCAACTATCCAGGTAAACAATCGGTCATAAACCGCCTTTCCAAGCGCATCTCGACCATAAAAAGCTTCCGTTTGAGTGTGTTCTTTCCTCATAATATCCCCATGCGCGGCGATAACCCGCTCGCAAAGGGCTTTTGTGAGCTCATCGTGAGGAACTTTGAGTAAATTCGCGACTTCTTTCGATTCTTTGGTGTCTTTTAATTGTATTTTATCGTCATCCGTTTTAAACTCGATATCGCCCAGGTGTAAAACGGCGGCGACTACTCTCCAAAGTGTGTCGATATCATCTTTCGAGAATTGAAGGGTACTTAATGATGACATTACGTCTTTATAATCGCGTTTATCATCGACTGTATTTACGATGGAACAATTTCCTTGACGGAGATAGTGGTAGTTTTCAGCTTTCCTCGTTAGATGGAGCTTTTTTATTTGCTCTTCCGGGGCTCCGAATAATAACTAAAGTGATTACAAAATTAATAAATTTTTGTTATAGATAAATAAGTTGTTATATTAACCTGATAAAAGCAATGGAAATTTCTTTCGCCGTTTTGTTGGTAAATAACGCGACTTTTTTCTAATAAATATTTGTTGATGTGTCCCCCGATAGGGTCTCCTTTAAAATCGAAGTGGATGTCCATGTATTTTCCGAAACGGGATGAGTTATCGTTTCTGTTAGTTTTTGCGTTTCCGAATGCTTCTAAAACGGCGTTCGATTGTATTAGGACGTTTTTAACCCGCTCAATTTCTTTTTGACCACCTATTTTACAAAATATAATTAGTTATACCGGCAACATCATATAACTCGCAATACATGAATGTAGTAACCATTGTTACAAAACTACTACGTACTTGCACTGTCCCACATAAAATGCAACCCTGGGGTAGTTTTGCAAAGGAAAAGTTTTGCTTGGAAAAGGTCTTAAGAGACGCACGACTAAACCCGAATGATTCTAGTTCTAGGTCTGGTTTTAGTGCAATAAAAATATGCAACGAATGTTTCTAGTTCTAGTGTTAGTCTAGTTTTATTTGTTATTCAGCATTAAATTGTTGAGATTTAGATTGTTGTTGCTATATTTTTATTGAGCTATAATTAGGGCACGGAACTTTTGTAACAAAACGATACGATTCCCCCCCTCCACTCGTTCTGATTAAAAGAACACCATACTGTTCAGTGGGAAATTAAAATTTCAAGTTAGAAAAAAATTGTGTTAACAAAAATTGTTCCTGAAGCAATTCTTAACAAACATTGTTAACAAAATTTTTTGATTTAATCAATAATTAAGGAGATAACCTCAAAATAATAATTTTTCCGTTTTTATACATAATTACACTTGGATGCTTAATTAATAGAAATGTAAAATTTTTTTATTAAGATAATTGATTCAAAATCGAAATTGAAACAAATTTTATTTAAAACATTTTTTGATAAAAACAATAATTATTGAGATAATTAATTTTGATAGCATACTATTCAGAGGGAAATTAA